CTTGGAGTCTCGGTTGTTTATGGTAGACCCGGGATGTAATATTTTTAACACTAGAATCAAGAGACTGAATTTCCTCTGCCTCTTAAGATAGTGTCCGCAATCCAATATCTGCAAGGGTTGACACTCATTTATTTGTCTTACAAAATAATTTAGTTCCAGGGTGCACTATAGTAATTACTCGTTGTCCGGCAGAAAATCATTCCGAAATTTCATTAACACATAAATAGTGGGAGAAAGATTTCAAGGAGATTGCTTCCTTTTTTCTGTCTTAACGTTCATGGTTTCTCTCGTCTTTATAAATCTTCAGAGAGATGGATTTCTGCAGTATCTTTTGAGGTGTCTACAATTTTCTACAGTTTACTCTGCAGTCTTTTGCAGTTTTGTACACTTTTTGCAATTTTTTGTTATTGCACATAATTCTGTACACATTTATTATTTTCAAATAATATTGAAAATTCCAATATTTCAATTTTCCTTTGAATTGAAATATCATTCACGTCATGGTATCAAAACATACTAATTAATATTCAAATTAATAATGTTGTTAATTGTAGGGAATTGTTGCATGAGTGTACCATGAAAACAAGGAACATAATTGGATATTCTTCTTGTCACATTGTCAAAAATACTGAAATTGGAGGAAAACCATTTCACGAACCTATTTGATAAAAGAGATGAAATGATTGCAAGATTGAACTGTTATCCGAGTTGCTCGAGGCCTGATCTCATGTATGGAATCAGGCCTAACTCTGATGGTGCAGCGATGACCCTTCTGTTGCCTGATAAAGAGGTAGAGGGACTTCAAGTTCTCAAAGATGGAAAATGGGTGAAAGTTCCAAGTCTTCCTTATGCTTTGTTCTTTATTTTGGGAAACAAGAACTTCTATACTCTTATTTCTAACTATTTGGAAGAACTCAACCTGCTGGAGGAGAATGTCCTTGTATCATTATTTGATTTTGCTTGAGAATTTGAGGCCCAGCGTGATCGTCAGCATCTATATCATTTTGTGATGCAGTTGCACCTTGACTTGAGTCGTTGAGGGCTCATATTCGTCACAGATCACCACTTTTGTAACTTACAAATGTTGTTGTGAAGTTTACTTGTAAGGAGACGTGCCTTCCTCTTCTGAACTTTCTCCTAGAGTTTGTCGTAACTGCAAGCTTGAAGGTCATCTTATGCAAGATTGTCCAGTACTACCTTGGGATCCATGTCCCAACTATAAGCTTTGAGGACACTGTTTGCATCGAAAATCGATTTTATTGCTGTATCAATTATAATTGTTTATCAATTACAGATTAAAAAAAAAGAAAGTTAGTCTTTTTATAAGACTTTCTTACACAATGAAAACAAACAGTGGGATCTCCTAGAAACACACGCATGATCGTTTATTGATCGCTGCTTGTGTGAGATCTTTGCATGTTCCAAGGATGCTTTGATTCGTGGACCGCCGAGTATCAGATCCATGTTGATCGTAATGAAGGCTCGCTATTCTTGTTTCATTTTAGACACAAGAATAGAAGTAAATATCTCAATAATATGAGATAAATACTCTTATTGAGATCAAAACGACGTTTGATCCCAAGGGAAGATGGAAAAGCTGCAGATCTCTCGAAAACCCCCTCTTTATGCTGAAAAATTTGTCAAAATCTCACCTTTAGATCTGAAATTCATGGCCCTCCTCTCACAAGGTCAACAAATTGCCTCCAAGTCCAAAATTCCAGATCACCCGTGCATAGGGGCACTAGGGGTGTATTTATAGGCTTCGGAAGCTGTGTTTTCGGATAAGAATTCGTGATTTGATCTTATCTTCAATTAGAAACGACTTTCCAGCATTTAGGGATGTTCCTAAAGCAGTTAGGGAGGCACTGGATAGAACGAATCCTGAGATTTTATCAAAAACACGGTTTGGGGGAATCTGCCTGTGCGAGACAGACTTTTATGTCTTGGCCCCGAGACACACTTTTGTGTCTCAGCCCCGAGACACAAATGTGTGTCTCGGTCCCGAGACACAAATGTCTGTCTTGGGTTTCAAGACACATTGGTTGTTTCTCGTTCACCGTTTTGTCGATTTGCACGCTTTGTTGCTTCGTTGTTCCGTTGTTTTACGTGTTCCTTTGCTTCCCTTTGACATCAGATGATCTTCTTTGACTCGGATATCAACGTTCTTCATCTTCTCTTTGTCTAGAGCTGTGTGCGGGAATCTATAAATAATTTTTGACGCCTATAGATACATATTAATCTCTCATATGCACAAGCGAGTTTATGAATAGACATTTCACTTTCGGAATCGGACTCGCATACCTCACTAGGGCTATCGCCTAGTGGCCGTGTGCATGATGATGCTCCACTTGTACTTGAAGTGGAATCCGCCAAGGCTTATCAGATCTTCTCTAAGTTTTCTTGATGTGCTTCTATAAATTTCTATAATTTGTAAGCACTATCAGAATGAGCAAGCTTGTTAGAAATAGTAGAGTCAAATGCATTATGCAAAAATTCTAACAAAAGCTTATTCATTGTAAATATTCTTTTATTATTTTTACTCCACTTGGATTTCTCCAAAGTGGGTACAATATAAGCACAATCAATTATTTCTCACAAATAAAAATATCTAGATCTAACAAAAAGTTTAAATCTTACACACCATTGTGCATAAGGAAAATTATCAATTCTTAGAGCAATATTAATAGCATAACCTAAGCGTTAAGACATGGTATATATATGCAAACAATATGAAAATAATCTCAAAACTAGATTAGAAGATATAATAGCTTGGATATTTGACTCTAGGCGTTAAGCCATAAATCAAGAACACCAAGCTCTGATACTAAATGAAATTACCCTAGAGGGGGTGGGGGTGAATAGGGTATATGATAATCTAATTAGATATTAATGCCAAATTAAAACTTATTAACAATATCATAGCAATTATGATATACAATGGGATATATGCAATGATAACAAATAAACAAAAGAGTGATATAAACTATGAGACAATGGCGATATAGAAATATAATAAGCAATGAGCACAAGAATAATACGCCAAGTCAAACACAAACACATAATATGATCACGGAGTTCGGTCACCCTCGACCTACATCTCCGCTCCTCACTCTCAAGGAGAATCTCTACTATCACAACCGGTTTTCAACGTTCACCGAAAACATTCACAATCTCACACAATCGGTTTTCTAGCTCACCGAAAACATTCACAACTCACACAAATACAATCACACAATACACCCTCTAAGTATTAGCCTGGCCCGTGTCAACTTCCTCAAGTGCTCAGATTTACAATCTCTCCCTAGGCTTTACTACCCATGCCACTTCTCTTGGAATCAACCCCGTCTCTTACCACACACTCCTCTCAGTGTCCTTGTGTATTACAATGTGATCTCACAATAAAAGCTCAAATACAAGGGTTTGTTCTCTACAATGGATGAGAAATCAATGTAAGCTCACTCTCAATGATACACTCACTACCTAATAATATAGTGTATGAAAATACTAAAAGCTCAATAGGGATGTGTGTGATCAATGAGTAAAAATGAAATCTAACTCAAATTAATCTAGCAAGTGTAAATATGAATAAACAAGCTAGATAATTGAGTTTAGAAAAATTCTCCAAAATCACAAAGAGATGTAGATGAAGAGATGAGATTGAATTCCTCAAACCGAAAATATAAGCATCCTCTTTGTGAAAACTTCTTCACACCAAACAAACTTGAAAAACTTCTTAAACACCCTTAAATACTTGTAAAACTTATTTTAAAACTTTCTTGAGTAGGTTCAAAAGTTTGAGGGTAAGGAGTATATATATGTTCACAAAACAAACCCTAAAAATCAAAGAAAAAGATAAAAACAACAAAATTTGAAAAGTAGTCGTTACTGTACAATGACCATATCATCAGTCGACTGATTACATGCGTCAGTCGACTGATGCCTTCATCGATCAACTGGCACGTTATTAGTCGATTGAGCAGACGAAAACCACTATCTGCGCTTCACTTTATCAGTCAATTGATCATTGTAGTGAGTCGACTGATAACGTGCACGCAACATGTTATGAATACTAAAAATCAACTTTGAACTCCTTTAAAAAATAGCAAATAAATTTTAAAAATTATAAAAATTTGGAAAATATTTATAAACATGAAAATAAATATGTTACAAGAGGAATTTTTCAAATTATATTTCCCATTTGTGAAAACTCATCATTTTACAAAATTGGTCAAAATACGAAATCTCAAAAACACATGATTTTGACAAAATGATTTCAAACAAGTTTCAAACTTCTTTTAAATAGATTAATAAACTTGAGAAAAGATATAAAATAGTATAATTAAGTCTTTAATCTATAAACATATTATTTTGCAAATTTACAAAAATATGAATATGATAAACATGATTTCATTGAATGAATATGTCAAGCTTGATTTTAATAAAATCATTATATAAACATGAAACAAATATGTGTGTGTATATGATTATGTCTATTTATTTCATATTTATGTGGTTAAACTTGAAAGCAATAACAATGGAAAGCAATGTGTGTGTATAGTTTGAGCTTTAAGTATAAGTACACAAAGTAAATACACCTAGACTAATATACCCAAGATGGAAATCTTCGCTAAGCTTGATCTTGGACAATCCTCCATCTTGAAAAAAGGTATGAAGCACGAACTCGTATTTAACTTGAATAGTGATGGCTTCATTCCTATTCTCCTTCCAACATCCAATGGATCTGATCATGTAGGTGCAATCCAACCAACCTCCAACCGAGGGTCTTTGTGTAGAATACCTAACAATCAAATGTAAACACTCGACAAACATTGTTAGGAATTATATATTAATCATTAAAACTAGATTAGATAGTAGGCTCGTAATGTCACGACCCCAATTTTCGAACCTCAAAGGAATATTAGAGTCGGACTAAACCTATGAAAAGTCCTCCAAAATATACATTCATTAAAAGAGCACTAAAACAAATCTCTTCATTGAACTAAAACCAACAACAAATATTCTCTATAATCCCAAAAGTCAAACTAAGCCAATTAACTTGATAAAAATAAATATTCCTCAACTCGAAATAAATCTCAACCTAAAGAAAGAATTCTCATTATTACAAAACTCTCAATTCATCAAACTAAACATTAAAGACTTTATTTAACCTTCGCCTAGAAGACAATAACAAACTCGAATTATATTCTTTGCTTCGTTCTAAGAATTTGGCAAATCCTCAATTCCACCTAATCCTGAGTCTCTGAAAAGAATGAAAACAACACAATGAGTTCACAACTCAATAAGTGGATAAATTTATACATTAAACACTGGTTTAGCAAAACTAAAATAAATTGACTTGATAAGCGAAATATTAAAATAGTAAAATCTATAATGCAACACTTTTAAAATATATACATGCAATGGAAATAAGCAGGTCATGTTTCAATGCGGTCAACACTTCGATACTCCGGTTGACTTGGCAAACCCCACTATTATAAAGCCCGTGGTAGGGACGATGAGACCCAAACTTGGGCTCTTAGAGCTAAAATAGAAACCTCATAGAGGCACATTGAGCCCTGTGTTAATAACTTGCTTATATCCAACATATACCGGTATATTGACTTGAGATGCATATGCTTTAACAATAAACAAAGTTCGTAAAGCTAATCACATCATACAAAAATGCCAAAGGCCAACCAATAGTGAAATAAATCAAACACATATGCATCTCAACCTATCACTATATGAAAAGACATAACAATTGATAAAGAAAATAAGCATAGGCTTATACCAAAATATCCATGAGCAACACAAAATCAAACCAATCAACAAATAATATACTAGTATTCATACGAAGAATATAATCCGTCAGGAACAAATCCAAGTATACTTGATATAATTATATAAAAAAAAACACAGCGCACAATGCATAAATTCACCACTTACTCAAATCCGAAAGACTATCGGAATACCAATCACGACGCCTCCTCGAAGTCCCTTGGAATTTCTACATAATATTTATAAATAATCATCAGAATTTCTGTATAATCTATGACGCGAATGCCTATTAAAATTGTTTAGGATATACTAACTTAAATTAACTATACTAAAATCAATCAACATATCCTATTGTACCCTATAGTCACGGTTAAACATTGCATGCATAATAATTTTTTAAAAGAAACAAAAGAAGAGGAGACGGGAAAATGCTACACTAGATTAAGGAAAATAGCCATGGCCACAAAAGCAAGGCCTATCACCTAGGACGTGGAACCATCAATTAAGACAAGATCCAAATATGTTAAAATAAAATTTGTTGCACAACATGAAACTATGCTTACTCTAGTCCATATAAAACTGATGGAAGTAGAGATAGACTTATACCTTGTTATTGTGTTAATAATAACCGCCCACTTTCTCAGTGCAGATCTTAACTTTTTTTTTTTTGGTGAGCGGCGGATGCATGCGGCGGAAAAAGACGGGAAGAAGGAAGAATGGCTGACGGGGAAAGAAGGGTAGGGTTTGGGTATTTATAAAGGTCTCTTTTTGCTATTATAACCCTCTAACTAATTTTACATGAAAGCTCATATACTTTTTCTTATATATATCTATCTTAAAACTTAGAATTATTACACGTAAACATGAGACCTAACACTTGAAACTATACATACTATCATGCTCAAGACACATGTTCCTTGATATTTTTTGGCTAAGGCTCTTCTTATTGCTATCCTTTAAACCAATGTTACCCGTCATTCTTATTTACATACACATGTACATACTCTCAACCACACAAAACTCATCTAATCATTCCTTGATTCGAGTTTTTGACTATGTCTGTTTTGTTCTTCTTCCATAAAATGAATGAGATAAGTTGTGTCCTTGCTGAGCTCGATGCATCATGTTAAAATGTAATCCATGTCACAAAGATTATAGATGTTATGATCCAAATAATTGAAGAATCTCATGTCATCTCATCTTCTTTAAAACTTTTACTACTATCATCAAACAAAGAGTTAGATTTACCCTTTCTCTATTCATCTATATCGACATCAACATTATCGATGCCGTCGTATATCCTTGTTCCATCCTCATCTCTTGAGTCACCTTCACCCCTTCATGAAATAAATTCAATTGATACTATGAACATGGCTACTCCTGCTTCTGATTCACTGATTGTTGCACTGCCAACACTATCACCATTATCGTCATCGCCACCACCACCATCGTTGGCATCCCTACCAGTAACCCCACCATGACCAATCCTGCTTGAAATCGTCATTCCCCTCCAAAATACTCTTGTATAACTAATTTTTATTCATCCTATTTTGCATCCTTTCTTGCTTTATACATTCTTTATAGGAACCACAATCTTGTTCTGAGGTAGTTAAGTATTCTGAATGATAACAAGCTATACAAGAAGAACTATAGGCCCTTCAACGTACCCATACATGGGATCTTGTTCCTTTACAACATGATACCCAATTGCTTAGTTGTAAGTTGATATTCAAAATAAAAAAATCAGACGGTTCTATTGAGCGTCACGAAGCTCATGTTGTTGCTTGTAGATTATCTCATGAGTACAGTACACCATTAGTCAAAATCACATCTTATTGCTATTACCGCTAGTCGTCATTAGGAATTACATCAGATGGATTTGAATAATGTCTTTCTTAATGGTGAACTTATAAATATCATTTACATACAGCCACCACCCATAGTTAATGTTCCTTCCTGTCATGTGTGTCGTCTTTGGCGTGCTCTCTACGGCCTCAAACAAGCCCCTCGAGCTTAGTTCGAGTTCTTTTAAAAATCTATTCTCTCTATTGAATTTACAAAAAAACTCAGCGATTTATGTGATGTTTTATTGTAGCTTTTCTCAGGGTCAAATCATTCTCCTCTTGTATGTTGATGATATGATTATCAGTAGGAATGATATATCTATTATCCAGAATCTCAACCGACACCACCGAAGTCAGTTTGAGATGAAGGATCTTAGATATTTACGCTATTTTCTTAGGATTGAGATTGCATACTCTCCTCGTGGCTATCTATTGTTTGAACATAAGTATATTTGAGATATTCTTAAGCGAGCCACTCTCACCGATGCCTCTCTTACAACTTCATCTGTTGTCATAGATTTTATGGAGCTTCACTTGAACTTTGTAAATCAGATGGTGATCCTCTACTGAATCCTACTCGATATTAGAAAATTGTCGTTGCCTTTATTTACTTTTCTGCTACTCATCTAGATATATCTTATGCTATTCACGCTCTTAGTTAGTTTATGGCCACACCAACAACTATTCACTATGTAGCCTTGGTCAGACTTCTTTGCTACATTTAGGGTACTATGACTCGCTTCTTGTCATTTCCATTTGATTCACCTCCCATTCTAGGAGCATACACTGATGCTAGCTAGGCTGATGATCCTAACACTAGCTGATCTACCACTCGATACTGCATCTTTCTTATTTCATCTCTTATCTCTTAATGTAGCAAGCACTAACACATAGTTTCTTGGTCTAGTATTGAGGCGGAATATCATGCTATTGCTGACACTACTCTTGAATTTTATTGACTATGTCATCTTCTATAGGATATAATTATCTCTAATCCTTCTCTTGTTCCTCTACTTTGTGACAATAACAGTGCTATTCAGATTGCTTATAATCCATGTTTCATATGTGCACTAAACACATTGAGGTGCAATGACATATTATCTGACAAGATCATAGTTCTCACCATATCTCTCTACATTACATAACATTAAAAGATCAATTTGGGGATATGTTCACTAATACAGAAAATACTGCTTAGCTACTTTATTTTTTGTCCAAACTTTCGGTGTTTGATTCACCTTAAGTTTGCAAGGGGGTTAAAAAATAATTTATATCTAAATGTGTACATGGCCAATATTAACCCACTCAGGCTCATGTCTTGTCTATGATTATGAGTCCTATCACAACTAGGAGTCATGTATTATTTATATTTGTATCATATACTCAGATTAATAAAATAACACATATTATTTTTCTCGTGGTTATGAATTCTTATTTATAAAGCATTGTTGCTCTTATAATTGTCCTATAGATTTATCCCCCCCTCAATCTTATAAGTACTCTATGGGTCATACAAGACTTCAAAAGAACTTATTTGTTTCAAACATCCTAATTTAATTCAATGAACAACATTGTTGATGTTAGCTATCAGACATGAATGAGATTAGCGGGTAATCCTGAGTTAAGCGAGGGAGCTTGTGATGTGGGTTCCCTCATCTCTCTCGGTCCCTTGTCTGCATAAGGGAGCTACATAATAGCACTCGTTAGAGGACCGGAGTTAGGTTCTCTAATGGTCCCTATGACGGTCAAGTCAGTATTTGAGCTTAAGTGGAGAAGATACCAATGACTAATAAACTGAAAGTAGTTCTAAGTATGCATAATTTGCATACTTACCCCTAGGGTTGAAGCATCCCCTTTGTTAGTAGGCGATGAGCCCATATTTATACCCAGGTGAGAGGGCTAAATATAGAACTATGACCGAGTCTAGTAAGGTAGTTAAATTAGTAAACAATTTCTAAGTGTCGACTGTGGGTGATATGAGTCATCAGTGTGATAACAGGTGGTAGCCGTTGGTGAAGATGGTCATCCAGGTGGTTAGTGCAAAGACTTTTTTGGGGGTTGATGAGCCATGATGACTTTGCCTGAGCATTTAATGTGAGGGCAGACAGCTGTTGGTGCAAGGTTCAAGAAAACTACCACCTCTTTAACCGTTCGACAGATGGCCGACAAATAACGTCTTTTAGTTAATTATGCAAGTTGTCGGCTGATGTAGCAGGTCGAGTGCAGGTTCCTTGTAGAGCTAATCTGGATCTGATAACATGTATCGCCTTTTGACTCGATTACGCATGTTGTCGGCTGATACAGTAGGCTGAGTGTGGGTTGTTCGTAAGGTCCATCGGGTGAGGTGGATGACAAGTACCATCTTTTGACTCGGCCACACAAGTTGTCGGCTCATAGTATTGGTCGTATGAGTAGTTTGAGTCATCTCAGCCTCAATTCGTCTGATTAGGTGTGGGGTAGGATATGTGTCGGCTTCTCTAGGGAGATTAGCACTTGGTGATTTTTTTGGCTATAACAGATGGCCCCATCTCACTTGAGCTCGGTTAGCTAAGTACGGGTGGAAGATTAAATAGCTGTCGATTACTAACTCTCGAGGTGCATTAATGAAGAGTGACTGAAAAGTCTTTTTAGATGGATGTTGCTGATGTCAGAGTATAATTTTTGGCTGCTATCTCCTCGCTCTTTGGGTATGATTGTGGGCTAATTAAGGCTTTGGGTGCCTTGATTCTGGAGTGGTCTCTTCAAATTTTAGAATTGATCTCCACCATTGGTTGGGCAGGGAGTCAACCATTAGGATTTTGATAGTTTTTTATTTCTGTGCCTACATATATGGTTGCCATAATAAGAGGGAGGTTATTTCTTTTGAAGATTTCTAAATCTTAATCGAGGAAAATTCTAATCATTCATCTTCTTCGACAACCTTTGAAACAGTTCTGATGGCTGCTTCTGCTGTTAAAGTTCGATAGGGCCAGTTGGAGAACTTTCACTCTAAGGTGACCTTGCCATAGTTGAGGGCGCTATATAAGAAGTTCGACATTCCTTGAGCTTTCACCTTGATGGTGCCAGTGAAGTCACATGCAGTTTTTGACCATAATGCAAGTCAGGCTCTGGTGTATGTGAAGCATTTGGAATATAGTTTATGCCTACCCCTTCATCCTTTCCTATGTCATGTTTTTAAGGCCTTGGGGGTATCACCGATGTAGATGAAGCCAAATTCGATTGTTACCCTAATAGGGTTCATTGCCATCATAATTCATAATTGGTTAGGGGGAACTAACCTTAAACTTTCTTAGCAACATTGTTAGTGTCGAGGTGCATCAGCATGAGGCTCATTTTCATCATTGGTTGCTAGGGGGATACAAGATAATCTCCAACCCTCCTGAGTCGAACAAGGACTGAAAGGAGAGGTTTGTATGGGTCTTAGGAGACGACTCTAACTTGGGCTACTCTAATTGGCCTAAGATCTATAGGGAGGCTCTGAAGATGGGGCCATTGTCCAGTGCTGAGAGATGTGCGTTGGAGAAGATTAAGGTGTACACGGGTTCTTGTAAGATGGAAGCCTTACTTGATAACTCAGTCTTGCAAGTTGTCAGTATCTCCTCCATGCCTCCTTCAGCTAAGGACAAGGCGAGGGCAGCAATGCTGACGTTGAGTTCCAAGGAAGCCATCAAGGCGCAGATGGCTCCACCTGTTGAAACTCAGGAGAGGCCTGATGAAGGGCCTTCGACGAGGCCAGCAAAGCACCTTCGTTAGGATCTAGTCCCTTTGGAGGCGATGGAGGTTTAAGCTCAAGTGGTTGAGGTAGCCATTGGATTGGCGGGTCGGAGCTTGTGACTGCTCATACCGAAAAGAAGA